AGCACAGTACAACAACCTAATCAAAGACCAAGGCGATATTTGCCTGGAGCCTGATGTACCAGGGAACATGCCAAGTTGACAGAGGCACCAGAATGACTCAGCCTCCTCAGAATACAAAACGAACTTCCTCATGCTCTTAATCACAGAATTATCACCTGCAGCTATGTGTCATTGTGGCAACAGGCAGGAAATGTATTTATTATGTTTGGTAACTACATAAGAAGTATACGCTGTTCTTTTTAAATTACTAAAACAGTGCTATGAAATTAATTTTCATATTAACGGGGCACCCCCAGATGATGGCCATCCAGCCTTGGGTTGGATGCCTCCAAAGAGGGAGCCTCCACCACACTCCAGGGCAGGGAGTTCCACTGTTGAATGGCTCTTGCGATCAGGGAGTTCTTTCTGATGTTCGGGTGGGATCTCCTTTCCTGTCGTTTGGACCCATGGCTTCATTGGGGTCTAGTTTCCAGGGCAGCGGAGGGCAGCCTTGCTCCCTCTTCCTTGGGACAACATTTCGGATATTTGGGCATGGCTCCCATGTCTTCTCTCATCCTTCTCTCTTGGAGTCTGGACAGACCCGGCTCTTTAAGACATTCCTCATAGGGATTCATGGTCTCCAGACCTTTGATCATGGCAGGCATGTATGGATGTATTGCTGGCATAGATGTGGAGGAAACGTCAGGAGAGAATGCTTCTGGAACATGGCTAGACAGCCTGGAAAACTCACAGCAATCCACTGATTCCAGACATGAAAGCCTTCAACACAGTGCCAAAAACCAATGCAACGTGCAATATAATCTGTCTCGGAACCAGTTTTGCTGCGCAGGTGATCAGATTGCTATGCCTGGAACCACACCTCGTCTCCTGTGCTATGTTATATAATATAATATATTGTATATACATATAATATTTATAATATTATAATGTAATGCGATATAATAATAATAATATATTATTATATTATATATTATTATTATTATATATTATTATTATATATTTATATTACATGTAATATTACTAATAATATTACAATATAATGGTATAATACAATACAGTAATATTTAATACTGATATTGTACTATGCTAATAATATAGTATATTGTGTGTGTGTGTGTGTGTGTGTATGTTTGTGTGTGTGTATATATATATATGTGTGTGTGTGTGTATCTTTTAAGCCGCTCTGAGTCCCCTTTGGGGTGAGAAGGGCGGCATATAAATGTTGTAAATAAATAAATAAAAATATTAAGGTTTGAGGGTGTTTGAATGCAACAGCAAAGTATCAGACCAGGACCATTTTCAAATCCTCAAGAACAGATGATCAATGATGGATTGCCAGAAGAGAGTTGCCAGTAATCAGTCAACAACCTGAAAATTAATAATGTCCCTTTGAAAAACTATACCAGCTGTTTAGTTTCTGATGTTGTCTGTCTAACCGCACCCTCGTTCAAAAATTTTAAAATCCTACACATTTGGTGGTTTTTTGATCTTGTCATCTCTAGAACATCAACATCAAGCTAAGCAACAAGGTCAATAATTTGCCAAATGGTGGTATGGAAGAAGGCAATTCTTTATGAGAGTAAAAGTAGGTTGTCGATTTAGGACTCCAAGGTGTTATGTCAGGAAACAGGAAAGACCACTTGTCCACACATTCCATGTTGGTGACCAAAGCAGATTTCTAATCATCTCCTAATTTATTTGACAGCAAGCTCCACTGATCTCAGGAGAGCCTAATGCTACATAAGCATTAAAGGAGATTGAAGGTAGATGATGACTCTAAGTTGAAATGTGCCCAGAGGAGGGTGACTTAAAGGATCAAGGGTCTGGAGAACAAGCTCTATGAGGAGCAGCTTACAGAGCTAGGTGCGTTTAGCCTGCAGAAGAGAAGGCTGAGAGGAGACCTGATGAGGGACACGTTTCAAGATGTGAGGGGAAGTCATAGGAAGGAGGGAGGCTTGTTTTCTGCTGCCCTGGAGACAAGGACACAATGATGCAATGGCTTCAACCTACAGGAAAGAAAGGAGATTCCACCTGAACATGAGGAAGAACTTTCTGACTGTGAGAGAGAACTGTTCAGCAGTGGAACTGTCTGCCCCATAGTGGAGACTCCTTCTTTGGAGGCTTTTAAGCAGAGGATGGGTGGTCGTCTGTCAGGGGTCCTTTGAATGAGATTTTCCTGCCTCTTCGCAGAATGGGGTTGGACTGGATGGCCCACAAGGTCTCTTCCAACTCTTATGATTCTATGAGACGTAAGCAACTGTGGTGATTCGGAGGATTCATTTTTTAGCCACACAATCCTTTGTGTGCCGTAGAGACTGCCCCCCATAAAGGAAAAAAAAAAAACCAGATGTGGTCAGAAGTTTACTTCTGCTTTTGGGGAAAAAAAATATAAGCACCACTGGAGGAAGTTGAAGCCTATTCAAGAGGTGACTTCCTGTTTTTTGAGAATTCTGTGTATAGTATGTTATGTTTTAAATTTTTTGTATTTTTATCTATGTAACTTATAATATATACTTCATGCTGGTCGCTTCTGAAGATCACCTCGGAAGGAATCCCACTGGAGCATTGCAGCGCACCCAAATACCTGGGAGTCACTCTGGACCGTGCTCTGACCTACAAGAAGCACTGCCTGAACATCAAGCAAAAAGTGGGTGCTAGAAACAATATCATACGAAAGCTGACTGGCACAAACTGGGGATCACAACCAGATACAGTGAAGACATCTGCCCTTGCGCTGTGCTACTCTGCTGCTGAGTACGCATGCCCAGTGTGGAACACATCTCACCATGCTAAAACAGTGGATGTGGCTCTTAATGAGACATGCCGCATTATCACAGGGTGTCTGTGCCCTACACCACTGGAGAAATTACACTGCTTAGCCGGTACTGCACCACCTGACATCCGTCGGGAAGTAGCAGCCAATAGTGAAAGGACCAAGGAAGAGACATCTCCAGCTCATCCCGTTTGGGTATCAGCCAGCACGTCAACAACTTAAATCAAGAAATAGTTTTCTAAGATCTACAGAGACACCCGCTGGAACACCTCAGCAAGCGAGAGTCCAAAAGTGGCAGGCTCAAACCCAGAACCTCAACCAATGGCTGATACCAAATGAGAGAGTCCCCACTGGGCACACAGAGGACTGGGCAACTTGGAAGGCGCTGAAAAGACTGCGCTCTGGCACCACAAGATGCAGAGCCAACCTTCAGAAATGGGGCTACAAAGTGGAATCCACGACATGCGAGTGTGGAGAAGAGCAAACCACTGACCACCTGCTGCAATGCAACCTGAGCCCTGCCACATGCACAATGGAGGACCTTCTTGCAGCAACACCAGAAGCACTCCAAGTGGCCAGATACTGGTCAAAGGACATTTAATCAACTATCAAACTCACAAATTTTGTATTTTGTCTGTTTGTTTGCTTTGTTCTGTTAGAAATGTAATATAATCGACTGGTTGCCCTGACACGATAAATAAATAAATAAATAGAATAATATATACTTTCTGTTCATATGTTTTTGACTTTGTTGCACCCCACTTCAGGAGAGGCAGGCAATAAATAAATAAATAAATAAATAAATAAAATATAGGCAGGCGGTTCCCAAGTTAGAAACACCTGACTTACAAATAACTCATATTTAAGAATTGGGGGTGGGAGGGTTTAGACAATGGGAAGTGAGTGAAATCTACCCTACAGAGAGGAAATTCACTCCCAAAAGAGTTATTATCAGTGGGAAAAGGTGTCTCAACTGAAGCTTTACCTCCAATTCTTGTTTCCACAACAAGCCACATTTTTTTTACATCCAATTATCACAGGGACAGAAAGTGAGGTGGAATCTTCTGAACAGGGGCACAGGCAGCAAAGGAAACATCACAGGGGTATTAACCCTTCCCTATGCTATCCAAACGTATGTATGGCTGGTGTTACACTTAAGAAATGTTCCTGTTTCAACTTAACACACAAATTCAATTTAAGAACAAACCTACACAATCTCTCTTGTTGCAGCATGCAAGAAATCAGTTCATATGTGTGTGTCAACTATAAAATAAGATGCATGAAGCTGATTGGACAGGCTATGCCCGGGGAGGAAGTTGAGCCTAGGACTTTTGGATACTGTTACATTTTTGTTCAGGCTTGAGCTATGCATGTGCAGAGAGAAGCAGAGAGAAACAGACTGATTTGCTTCTTGGCTGCTGAAAGGTTATTTATATATTTTATTTTGTATCAAAAGCATTGCATAAATTAGTATAAAACTGATAAAAATAGGTGTGCAAGTGGCTAAATATCTTTTGACCAAAAACAGGCAACAGCAATGGCAGTGTCTGTAGCCTCCAACAATTCCTCCTCTGCACATGAGGGAGGGCACAATGGACAAGCATACCGATGCAGAGTTGTCTGTTCTGCTCCACAGTCACACAAGATATGGGATTCTTTTAGGTAGTGCCATTTGGCCAGGTTGTCTTTTGAGTAAGACAAGGTCAGGGCTGATGTTCTTATTAAAATTGGGTCTGCACCCCATGTGCTGCCAGTAAGTTTTTGCAGGATATTATTACGCGCAGTTACTTTGTGCTTGGTGTTCAAGCAGTGTTTCCTATATGCTAGTGTTCGATCTAAGGTGACACCAAGATATTTAGGATGGAAACAATGTTCAAGAAAGGTTACTCATATGGACACAGAAAGGGCCATTTTGAATTTCTCATAAAAGGACAGTATGTGAGTTGGTGCACCTGATCATACTGTACACATGTTGTTCTGAACTAAGAAGAGTAAACTACTTGTTCTTCAATGTTCATATGCATGGCATATTTTCTTTCTCTGGCAAGGTAGTGTGTGGGCTGATCCAACATGAACTACACTTGGTTTATTTTACATTACGCCACATCTTGTTCGCAATCTGGGGACTGCCTATATTGCTATTACCCTTAAAATATTGTGCAGTTTTTCCAAAGGTTGCTTCAAATGTTCATTTTAAAGCTCACCCCATCCCCCATGTCCCTCTCACCTTTGAGTAACTCGGGGTCAACGTATCCGAGCACATCAGCGACGCCCAGCTCCTGGCGCGCGCAAGTGCCCCCATGAATCCGTAGCCAGGCAGGCTCCGCCAGTGCAGTGCAAAGGGCAGTGATGGAGAGTGCGCCAGGCAAAGCCGAAGCCAGGCTCCTCTCCGGCTGCTTTGGCAAGGTGCTCCCATCCTGGCCTCTCCGCCGGCGCCCACCAGGCAGCACCGAGCCACTAGGGGTGTACATGGGGCCAGACGCTCCCTTTCGAGATCAAGGCAAAGAGTCTAAAGACACACGATTGTGTCCAGAAGGAATTGAGATGACAACGAGGCCTTCAGCGAGATCTTGTCAATGCGTTTGGGTCCAGGTCCGGAGAAAGCTGAAGGCCTGCACACAGAACAGATTGTTAAATTGAGAAGGCAATGAGCTAAATATGAATTTAAAAGAATGTGAACCTTTACCAAAGTAGAGAAATTTTTCATATGAATATTACTCATCTATAGATATAAAAATGCTCTGTGCGTAATGAGTACCTTAAAAACAAAAGAACCAATGAACGAAATCACACCAAATTTGGCAACAAAAGGTCTCACAACACAAGGAGTGACCATCACTCTAAAAATTATGATTTTGTCATTTGGGAGTTGTAGTTGCTGGGATTTATAGTTCACCTAAAATCAAAGAAAACTCTGAACTCCACCAACAATGGAATTGAACCAAACTTGGCACACAGAACTCCCATGAAACAACAGAAAATACTGAAAGGGTTTGGTGGGCGTGACCTTGAGTTTTGGAGTTGCAGTTCACCTACATCCAGACAGCACTTTAGACTCAAACAATGATGGATATGATTCAAACTTGGCACGAATACTCAAGTGTAAACACTGGTGAAGTTTGAGGAAAATAGACCTTGACATTTGAGAGTTGTATTTGCTGGGATTTATAGTTCACCTACAATCAAAGAGCATTCTGAACCCCACCAACGATAGAATTGGGCCAAACTTTCCATACAGAACCCCCATGACCAACAGAAAATACTGTGATTTCTGGTGGTCTTCTGAGACCCCCTCACAACCCCCCCCCCCCAGGGGTCCCGACCACCAGATTGAGAAATACTGTCTAAAGGCCATCCGGTCCAACACCCTTCCCCAGGGCAAGAAAACATAATCAAAACCCTCCTGAGAAAGAGTCATCCAGTCTAGATATAGATAAATAGATATGATTCACACACACACATATGCCAGATATAGTATCATAGATTTCAAAGGGAACTCTAAAGAAGGATAATGATATGTTGCATGTTCTAGAGTAAGCAAACCAGATAATCTCTACATCAACACTGACAAGAAATACTGTTTACCCACAAGCCAATACTATTTTCCAGGTCACCAGACTGGGCCACAGCAATGCGTGGCAGGGGGCAGCTAGTGTTTATATAAAAATTTTAAGTACAGGCAGTCCCCGATTCACAAACATCTGGCTTACAAATGACTCCTAGGTAAGAACGAGGCTGAGATGACAGGAAATGAGAAGAATCTGCCCCTCGAGGGAAGGGAAATTCACTCTTGGAAGAGTTAATATCTTGGGGAAAATGGGTTTCCACTGAAGTTTATCTCCAATCCTTGTTTCCATAACAAGCCAATTTTCCCAAAAACCAATGTTCCCAGGGACAGAAAGTGAGGTGACATAGAATCATTGAGTTGGAAGAGACCCCAAGGGCCATCTAGTCCAAACCCCTGCCATGCAGGAAAAGCACAATCGAGGTACCCTTGACAGATGGCCATTCAGCCTCTGTTTAAAAGCTTCCAAGGAAGGACCTTCCACCAGACTCCGAGGTAGAGTTCCACTGCTGAACAGCTCGCATGGTCAGGAAATTCTTCCACATGTTCAGGTGGAATCTCTTCTCATGTAATTTGAATCCAATGTTCAAATCCTAGTCTGCAGGGCAGCAGAAAACAATCATCTCCCTCTCTCTCAGGACATCCTTTTACATATTTATACATGCCTATCATGTCTCCAGGGCCCCCTGGTGACACAGCAGGTTAAACTGCTGAGCTGCTGAACTTGCTGACTGAAACGTTGGCGGTTCGAATCTGGGGAGTGGGGTGAGTTTCCACTGTTGGCCCCAGCTTCAACCTTAGCAGTTTGAAAACATGCAAATGTAAGTAGATTAATAGGTACCGCTCTGGAGAGAAAGTAGCAGCACTCCATGCATTCATGCTGGCCATATAACCTTGGAGGCACCTACGGACGTCAGCTCTTTGGCTTAGAGATGGAGATGAGCACCAACCCCAGAGTCAGACACAACTAAATTTCATGTCAGGGAAAAACATTTACCTTTACTACCATGTCTCCTCTCAACCTTCTCTTCTGAGGCTAAACAGACCCAGTTTTTTAAGACCTCCCAGGGATTATTCATGGTCTCCAGACCTTTGATCGTTTTAGTTGCCTTCCTCTGGACACCTTCCAACTTAGAGGCAATATGTCTTTAAAATTGTGCTGCCCAGAACTGGACACAGTGTTATTTCAGGTAAAGAGGTCTGACCAAAGCTGAATATTACCTCCCTGGATCTAGACACTATACTCCTTTTGATGCAATCCAAAATCCCATTAGCTTTTATAGCTGCTGCATCTCATGTTCATCTTGTTCTCCACAAAGACTCCAAGATCTTTCTCATGTGGACTGTTGTTGAGCCAGGTGTCACACATCCTATATCTTTGCTTTTGATTTTTCCTGCCTAAATGTCGTATCTTACATTTGTCTTTGTTGAAATGTATTGCGTTAGCTTTGGCCAAATGGCTCTCTCATATGTTAAGATTCTTTTACATCCTGATCCTGTCCTCTGGAGTATTGGCTTTCCCTCCTAATTTGGTCCCATCTGCAAACTTGATAAGAAGCATGCTCTCTACCTCGCCTCTTGGTGCTGAAATGTCCACTATGCTTGGATACTGGTTGTTGCATGATTAATTATGTTTTTATGATGTTGTATATGTATTTGCATTTTTATTGTGTATATTTTAACTCTATTTGACTGGGCTTGTTCCCTATGTAAGCTGTCCAAAGTCCCTTCAGGGAGACAAATAAATAAAACACAGAGGTATAAAAACAGCAGCCTTAAAACTTACTAACATAATACACAACAAAAAAAAAACAATAGGAGAATTACTAAGATGGGCATGATCAGATTATAAAAGGAACAGGCATGGAATAGTTTAAAACAGGGGATTGGAAGAAGTGCAGAGAATCTTTGTCCATGTCCTTAATGAAGATCCTGAACAGAACTGGGCCCAGGACAGAGCCCTCTTCATGGCATGCAAATAGTCACTTCTTTGAGTTGTTGTAGGTTTTTTGGGCTATATGGCTACGTTCTAGAAGCATTCTCTCCCGACGTTTCACCCACATCTATGGCAGGCATCCTCAGAGGTTGTGAGGTCTGTTGGAAACTAAATAAGAGAGGTTTATATATCTGTGGAATGATGTCCAGGGTGGGAGAAAGGACTCTTGTTGTTGGGGCTAGGTATGAATGTTTCAATTGGCCACCTTCATTAGCATTTGATGTCCTGGAAGTTTTTACGTGTGGCTTGTTACTGCCTAGGGGAATCCGTTGTTGAGAGGTGATTTGCTGTTCCTGATTGTTTCTTGTATGAAGTTCCCTTCAATTGTGGTGCCCAGAATTGGACACAATATTCCAGGTGTGGTCTAACCAAAGCAGAATAGAGGGGTAGCATTACTTCCCTAGATCTAGACACTATGCTCCTATTGATGCAGGCCAACATCCCATTGGCTCTTTTTGCTGCCACATGACATTGTTGGCTCATGTTTAACTTACTGTCCACAAGAACTCTAAGATCTTTTTCATCACCTGGGTGATGGTTGGAGTTTTTATATTGTAACTATCCATGTGTGTAGGTTTTCTGTCAACCGTATGGCCCAATTGTTGATCTGGTTGGTGGATGACTAGGACATCTAGAAAAGGCAGTTTTCCTCCATTTTCTTTTTCCATGGTGAATTGGATGTTTGGGTGGATGCTGTTGAGGTGGTCCAGGAACCTGTTTACTTCTTCTTCTCCAAGTCTCCAAATGGTGAAAGTGTCATCCACATATCTGCCAGAGCTTTAATGGTACTTCTTTTTTTTTTTTGAGGGTGAAGATGAGGAACCACCAGAACATCTTCTAAACTGGGGCACCGGCAACAAAGGAAACCCCATTGGGATGTTCACCTTTCCTCCAAGCTACAGTCTCTCCCTTGAGCCACATGCGCCAGTTAGAGCGGTATCAAACAGGTATAATTTATTTTATTTATCGTGTCAGGAGCAGACTAAAGAGTTGCATTGCATTTTTTAACAAACAAACAGACAAAACACAAAGTTTGCAAGCTTGGTGGATGATTACATGTCCTTTGACGAGTATCTGGCCACTTGGGAGTGCCTCTGGTGTTGCTGCAAGAAGGTCCTCCATTATGCATGTGGCAGGGCTCACGTTGCATTGCAGTACGTGGTCTGTAGTTTGCTCTTCTCCACACTCACGTCGTGGATTCCACTTTGTAGCCCCATTTCTGAAGGTTGGCTCTGCATCTCGTGGTACCAGAGCGCAGTCTGTTCAGCGCCTTCCAAGTCGCCCAGTTTTCTGTGTGCCCAGGGGGAGTCTCTCATTTGGTATCAGCCATTGATTGAGGTTCTGGGTTTGAGCTTGCCACTTTTGGACTCTTGCTTGCTGAGGTGTTCCAGTGAGGGTCTCTGTAGATCTTAGAAACCTATTTCTTGATTTAAGTCATTGACGTGCTGGCTGATACCCTAACAGGGGATGAGCTGGAGATGTCTCTTCCTTGTTCCTTTCACTACTGGCTGCTACTTCCCGGCGGATGTCAGGTGGTGCAATACCGGCTAAACAGTGTAATTTCTCCAGTGGTGTAGGGCGCAGACACCCCATGATAATGCGGCATGTCTCATTAAGAGCCACATCTACTGTTTTAGCATGGTGAGATGTGTTCCACACTGGGCATGCATACTCAGCAACAGAGTAGCATAGCGCAAGGGCAGATGTCTTCACTGTGTCTGGTTGTGATCCCCAGGTTGTGCCAGTCAGTTTTCGTAAGATATTATTTCTAGTGCCCACTTTTTGCTTGATATTCAGGCAGTGCTTCTTGTAGGTCAGGGCACGGTCCAGAGTGACTTCCAGGTATTTGGGTGTGCTGCAATGCTCCAGTGGGATTCCTTCCCAGGTCATCCTCAGAGCTCGGGATCCTTGTCTGTTCTTAAGGAGAAAAGCACATGCCTGTGTTTTAGATAGATTAAGGATCAGCTGCTTTCCCCTGTAATAGGCAGTAAGACCACCTAGAGCTTCGGAGAGCTGTTCAACCATCTCCAAGCTCCCTGCTTGAGCAGCAATGGCACGATCATCAGCATAGATGAAACTCTCTGTCCCTTCTGGCAGTGGCTGGTCATTTGTGTAGATGTTGAACATGGATGGAGCAAGCACGCTCCCCTGAGGCAGGCCGTTCTTCTGTTTCCACCATCTGCTTCTCTGGCCCTGGAACTCAACAAAAACTCCTGTTTTGTAGCAGGTTTCCTATGAGGCGGGTGAGGTGGTCGTCCTTTGTGATATTATACATTTTTATCAGGAGGAGGAGGCGGTGGTTCACAGTATCATAGGCTGCTGACAGGTCTATGAAGACAGCTCCTGTGATCTGCTGCCTTTCAAAGCCATCTTCTATGTGCTGAGTCAGATTCAACACTTGCGATGTGCAGCTTTTGCCTTTTCTGAAGCCAGCTTGCTGTGGGATCAGTTGTTGTTCATTCGTTCAGTCGTCTCCGACTCTTCGTGACCTCATGGACCATCCCACGCCAGAGCTCCCTATCGGCCGTCACCACCCCCAGCTCCTTCAAGGTCAGTCCAGTCACTTCAAGGATGGCATCCATCCATCTTGCCCTTGGACGGCCCCTCTTCCTTTTTCCTTCCACTTTCCCCAGCATGTCTCCTCCAGGCTTTGCTGTCTCCTCATGATGTGGCCAAAGTACTTCAACTTTGTCTCCAGTATCTTTCCCTCCAGTGAGGAGTCGGGCTTTATTTCCTGGAGGATGGACTGGTTGGATCTTCTCGCAGTCCTAGGCACTCTCAGAGCTTTCCTCCAACACCACAGCTCAAAAGCATCAATCTTCCTTCGCTCAGCCTTCCCTAAGGTCCAGCTCTCACATCCGTAGGTGACTACAGGGAATACCATGGCTTTGACTAGGCGGATCTTTGTTGCCAGTGTGATGTCTCTACTCTTTACTATTTTATTGAGACTGGACATTGCTCTCCTCCCAAGAAGTAAGAGTCTTCTGATTTCCTGGCACAGTCTGCATCTGCCGTAATCTTTGCACCTAGAAATACAAAGTCTGTCATGGCCTCCACGATTTTTCCCTCTATTTTCCAGTTGTCAATCATTCTTGTTGCCATAATCTTGGTTTTTCCCCCCCGTAATTCTATTTTTTCCGTAATTCTATGCAAAATAAGCCTCCCCATAACTTTGTAGAGGTGGCACAACAGGGAGATTACACTATGTAACAAAATTTGTAAGAGCACCCAGAGCTTCTGTTCAACCATCTCAAAGCCCCCTGCTTGAGCGGTGATGGCACGATCATCAGCATAGATGAAATGGTGAATTGGATGTTTCGGTGGATGCTGTTGAGGTGGTCTAGGAACCTGTTTACTACTACTTCTCCTTCTCCATGGCTCCAAATGGTGAAGGTGTCATCCATATATTTGCCAGAGCTTTAATGGTGCTTTAAAGAAGAGGAACCACCTGAACATCTTTTAAACTGGGGCACCGGCAACAAAGGAAACCCCATTGGGATGGGATGTTCACCTTTCCTCCAAGCTACAGTCTCTCCCATGAGCCACACACACCAGTTAGAGCGGTATCAAACAGGTATAATAATCAGGCCGGGAAAGGAATGGGGCCTAGAAGCCTCTCAAAGGCGCCCCGAGTGGAAGAGGCCCCGCCCGGCTCCTCTCTTCCCTTCTCCCTCCTTACCACTCCAGGGCCTCACCTCGGTCCCTCCGCCGCCTCAGGGGCCTCGAAGCCCGGCCATCGGGGCCCCTCACCGCTCTCTTTCTCCCTCAACCCGGCCCTTCCGGTCCCGACGAGCCCAACGAGCGCTTCCGTTTCCGCCTTCAGCCGATCGGGCGTGCGTGTGACGTCAACACGCCGTGCGTCAGGGAGAAAGAAAGCAGACTCTGGCGTCGTGACGTCACTCAGCCTGTTGTTCATAGACACATAGAAATAGATTATTACCCCGCTTTTTCTCTCCATGCGAAGACTTAAAGCTTTTCACAATGGAAAACATTGCAATGCAACTTCAAATATACAAATATCAAAAAAGTATTATGATTATGATATATTATCAGTAGTATTATATTTAGTATTATAGGGGACAAGTCCCTTTAAGCCGGGATTTTTTTCCCCCGCGCAAAGCTTCTTGGGAGTTGTTGTTTCTCCGCAACGAATAACGACAGCGATGGGTGGGAAAAGAAACTACCAATCCCGAAAGGCATAGCGGCGGGCGCTCTTTTGGCTTCTCTCCGAGGCTGCGCAGGCGCAGAGAAAGCCTCAGCCTACACACAGGTAGGAAGTGGTGGATAACTTCTCTGAGCGACTCCTGGGATTCCATAGCGTTGAACCATGGCAGTTAAAGTGGGATCAAACTGTATTAATTCCGTAGTATAGATGCAACCTTAGAGCTCAGGCTTGAATAATATAATAACAATATAATATAATAATATATAATAACAATATTATATTAGATGGAGCCTTAGATCTCACAGTTGTCAGGCTTTATTATTATTATTATTAGTATTATTATTAAAATAACATTATAAAATATTATTAAAAATAAAAGTGAAGAGAGAAGGGCCAGGAAAACAGTTCCACCTTGTCTTCTGTGCTATAATAATATAATGTAATATAATATATTGGATATACATATAATATTTATAATATTATAATGTAATGCAATGTAATACCAATACCAATAATACAATATTATTATTATATCTATATCTATCTATCTATCTATCTATATTTCTGCCAAGCTAGCAGTTCGAAAACATGCAAATGTGAGTAGATCAATAGGTACCGCTCCGGCGGGAAGGTAACGGCGCTCCATGCAGTCATGCCGGCCACATGACCTTGGAGGTGCTGAGGACAACGCTGGCTCTTCGGCTTAGAAATGGAGATGAGCACCACACCCCAGAGTCGGACATGATTGGACTTAATGTCAGGGGACTACCTTTACCTTTTTATCTATCTATATATATAACAAATAATATTAATAATATTACAATATAATGGTGTAGTACAATATAGTAAGATATAATACTGATATTGTGCTATACTAACAATATAATATATATTGTATGTATCTATGTCTAGTACACCACTCTGAGTCCTCTTCGGAGTGAGAAGGGTGGCATATAAATGTTGCTCTGCATCTCGTGGTGCCAGAGCGTAGTCTGTTCAGTGCCTTCCAAGTCGCCCAGTTTTCTGTGTGCCCGTGAGGGAGTTTCTCCTTTGGTATCAGCCATTGATTGAAGTTCTGGATTTCAGCCTGCCACGTTTGGACTCTTGCTTGCTGAGGTGCTCCAGTGAGTGTCTCTGTAGATCTTAGGAAGCTATTTCTTAATTTAAGGCATTGGTGTGCTGGCTAATATCCGAACAGAGGATGGGCCAGAGATGTCACTGCCTTGGTCCTTTCAATATTGCCTTCTGCTTCCCGGCGGATGTCAAGTGATGCAATACTGGCTAAACCAGGGGTCCTCAAACTTTTTAAACAGAGGGCCAGGTCCCTCAAACTCTTGGAGGGCCGGATTATAATTTGAAAAAGCATGAATAAATTCCTATGCACACTGCACATATCTTATTTGTAGTGCAAAAACACTTAAAAACAATACAATTAAAATGAAGAACAATTTTAACAAATCTAAATTTATTCGTATTTCAATGGGAAATGTGGGCCTGCTTTGGCTGATGAGATAGGATTGTTGTTGTTGTTTTGTGCTTTCAAGTCGTTTCAGACTTAGGTTGACCCTGAGTGAGGGCTGGGTAAATGACCTTGGAGGGCTGCATCCGCCCCCCAGGCCTTAGTTTGAGGACCCCTGAGCTAAACAGTATAATTTCTCCAGTTGTGTGGGGCTAGAAATCCTGTGATAATGCAGCGTTTCTAGCACCCACTTTTTGCTTGATATTCAAGCAGTGCTTCTTGTAAGTCACAGCATGCTCCAGAGTGACTCCCAGGTATTTGGGTGTGCTGCGGTTCTTCAGTGGGATTCCTTCCCAGGTCATCCTCAGAGCTCAAGATGCTTGTCTGTTCTTAAAGTGAAAAGCACACATCTGCATTTTAGATGGATTATAAATCAGCTGGTTTCCCTTGTAATACGCAGTAAAAGCACCTAAAGCTTCAGAGAGCTCCTGTTCAGCCATTTCAAAGCTTCCTGCTTGGGCGGTGATGGCACAATCATCAGCATAGATGAAACTGCCTGTCCTTTCTGGCAGAGGGTGATCATTTGTGTAAATGTTAAACGTGGATGGAGCAAGCAAGCTCCCTTGAGGCAGGGAGTTCTTCTATTTTTGCCATTTGCTTCTCTGGCCCTAGGTAAAGGTAAAGGTAGTCCCCTGACATTAAGTCCAGTCATGTCTGACTCTGGGGTGTGGTGCTCATCTCCATTTCTAAGCCGAAGAGCCAGCGTTGTCTGTAGACACCTCCAAGGTCATGTGGCCAGCATGACTGCATGGAGCGCCGTTACCTTCCCGCCGGAGCGGTACCTATTGATCTACTCACATTTGCATGTTTTCGAACTGCTAGGTTGGCAGAAGCTAGGGCTGACAGCAGATTATAATTTGAAAAAGCATGAAAAAGCCGCTCCCCGGAATTGAACCTGCGACCTTTCGATCTACAAGCTCAGCAGCTCAGTGCTTTAACCCACTGAGCCACCGGGGGCTCCTAGAACTCTGGCCCTAGAACTCAACAAAAAAGCTCCTGTTTTATAGCAGATTTCCTATGAAGTGGGTGAGATGATGGTAATAATGATGAATTATATTTCTCACCTAACTGGAGGAGAAGTGGGGAATAATAATAATTTTAATTATTTGTATTTTATTATGATTACATACAACATAGTTAAACTACAGAGATAAAACCTATACAGTAAGCTTCCAAGTTACGACCAAAATAGGTTCTGTAGGTTTGTTCTTAAGGTGAATTTGTATGTAAGTCAGAACAGAGACAACTGTGAGCTCTATATATGTGTGTGTGTGTGATTTCCACACTATTTCTCTCTCTCTGTCTCTATCCACACACATATATAGCTGTGAGCTGTGTATATATGAACCACCTGGCCTTGAGTTATGCTCCTGCTTTATTAGTTCATCCATTCAGGAAATGTATGACTGACAAGTTGAAACCCTTCGTGGCAATCTCTCGATTCAAATATTTTTAAAATGTTGTTTAATTTTTGAAGCAATCTCCTTCCTAGGACCCAGCGCCTCTGTTTGGGGCCATCATGAAGGATTCCTTGGTGCTCCTGTCCCGCATCGCTGCGCATCCGGACTCCCGCTGCTGGTTCCTGGCCTGGAACCCAACGGGGACCCTCTTGGCTTCCTGTGGAGGGGACCGCAGCATCCGCATCTGGGGCAAAGAAGGTGAGGTTGGAAGAGCAATAGAATAATAATAATAATAATAATGGAAAATGAACACACAAAAATACTGTGGGACTTTCGAATAACAGACTGACAAAGTTTTGGAACACAATACACCAGACTTCACAATTTTGGGGGGGGGGGGGGGGTTTGGATTATTGATGTCGCCATATCGGGTGACAGTCGCATTGAGGAAAAACAACAGGAAAAACTCAGCTGTTATCAGGACCTCAAAATCTAATTGCAAAGGCTCTGGCATAAACCAGTACAGGTGGTCCCAATGGTCATCGGCACACTGGGTGCCATGGCAAAAGATGTCAGCCGTCATTTGGAAACAATAAACATTGACAAAATCACGATCTACAACTGCAAAAGGCCACCTTACTTGGATCTGTGCACATCATTCGGAAATACATCACACAGTCCTAGACGCTTGGGAAGTGTTCGACTTGTGATTTTGTGATATGAAATCCAGCATACAAATCTCATTTGCTGTGACATACTGTGTTTTTGTGTCAGAATAATAATAATAATATTAATAATGTGTTGTCGAAGGCTTTCATGGTCTGAATCGCTGGGTTGCTGTGAGTTTTCTGGGCTGCATTGCCACATCAATGCCAGGCTTCCTCAGAGGTTGTGAGGTCTGTAGGAAACTAGGCAGTGAGGTTTATATATCTACGGAATAACGTCTTGGATGGGAAGAAGAACTCTTGTCTGCTTGAGGCATATATGAAGGGAACCACGGACCACTTAGGGAAGCTGATGAAATACAACATACAAACGATCTTCACACCCACTAAGAAAATCCAACAAATACTACATTCAGCAAAGGACAAGAGGGATCCTCTCACCCCTGCAGGAGTCTACCGTATACCATGCAGCTGTGGACAAGAAGTCTACAGAGGGAGCACAGTTAAACAGGAAGAACAATTTCAAACCAGAAACAGAACATTTTTCAAATTTTGTTACATAGTGTAATCTCCCTGTTGTGCCACCTCTACAAAGTTCTGGAGAGACTTATTTTGCATAGAATTATGGAAAAAATTAACCCATGTCTGATCCCACAGCAAGCTGTCTTCAGGAAAGGCAAAAACTGCACATCGCAACTGTTGAACCTGACTCAGCATGTAGAAGTTGGCTTTGAAAGGCAGCAGATCACAGGAGCTGTCTTCATAGACCTGTCAGCGGCTTATGACACCGTAAACCACCGCCTCCTACTGAGAAAAATGTATAATATCACAAAGGACTACCGTCTCACCTGCCTCATAGTAAACCTGCTACAAAACAGGAGATTTTTTGTTGAGTTCCACGGCCAGAGAAGCAGATGGCGGAAACAGAAGAACGGCCTGCCTCAGGGGAGCGTGCTTGCTCCATCCATGTTCAACATCTACACAAATGACCAGCCACTGCCAGAAGGGACAGAGAGTTTCATCTATGCTGATGATCGTGCCATTACTGCTCAAGCAGGGAGCTTTGAGATGGTAGAACAGAAGCTCTCCGAAGCTCTAGGTGCTCTCACTGCCTATTACAGGGAAAACCAGCTGATCCCTAATCCATCTAAAACACAGACATGTGCCTTTCACCTTAAGAACAGACAAGCATCCCGAGCTCTGAGGATTACCTGGGAAGGAATCCCACTGGAGCATTGCAGCACACCCAAATATCTGAGTATTATTATTAACTTTATTTGTACCCCGCGAGCATCTCCCGAAGGACTCGATGCGGCTTACACAGGCCGAAGCCACAAACACAATATAAGAAAACATAACATAGCAATAACAAAGCAAATCAACAGTTAAGCAAAAACAGCAATAACAATACATCAAGACATATTAAAACTGGTTCGGCCGGCGTAAAGGGGTACAGGGTTAAAAGTGCTGAGATGGCAGGAGGGGCGTAGGGAATTAAAAGTGTGGTGTGCAGCGATGTTAATTGTACTAAAGTGCTACTAGGACTTGGGATGGGGATTCCTAATCCGAGAAGGCACAACGGAACAACCAAGTTTTCAAATTCCTTCTGAAAACTGCTAATGTAGGGGCCTGTCGGAGATCTTTTGGAAGGGCGTTCCAGAGTCGGGGGGCCACCACGGAGAAGGCCCTATCCCGTGTCCCCACCAAGCGCGCTTGTGACGTAGGTGGGATCACGAGTAGGGCCTCCCCAGATGATCGAAGCGAGCGTGTGGGTTCGTAGATGGAGATGCGGTCACGCAGGTAGGGTGGTCCCAAACCGTTTAGGGCTTTGTAGGTGAGCACCTGCACCTTGAATTGGGCTCGGAAAATAAATGGCAGCCAGTGGAGCTCCTTAAACAGAGGGGTAGACCTGGGAGTCACTCTGGACCGTGCTCTGACCTACAAGAAGCACTGCTTGAATATCAAGCAAAAAGTGGGTGCTAGAAACAATATCATACAAAAGCTGACTTGCACAACCTGGGGATCACAACCAGACACAGTGAAGACATCTGCCCTTGCGCTATGCTACTCTGCTGCTGAGTACGCATGCCCAGTGTGGAACGCATCTCACCACGCTAAAACAGTAGATGTGGCTCTTAATGAGACATGCCGCATTATCGCGGGTTGTCTGCGCCCTACACCACTGGAGAAGTTACACTGTTTAGCTGGTATTGCACTACCTGACATCCACCGGGAAGTAGCAGCCAATAGTGAAAGGACCAAGGCAGAGACATCTCCAGCTCATCCCGTTTGGGTATCAGCCAGCACGTCAACGACTTAAATCTAGAAATAGTTTTCTTAGATCTACAGAGACACTCGCTGAAACACCTCAGCAAGCGAGAGTCCAAAAGTGGCAGGCTCAAACCCAGAACCTCAACCAATGGCTGATACCCAATGAGAGACTCCCCCCTGGGCACACAGAAGACTGGGCGACTTGGAAGGTGCTGAACAGACTGCGCTCTGGCACCACGAGATGCAGAGCCAACCTCAAGAAATGGGGCCACAAAATGGAATCCACGACATGCGAGTGTGGAGAAGAGCAAACCACAGACCACCTGCTGCAATGCACGCTGAGCCCTGCCACATGCACAATGGAGGACCTCCTTGCGGCAACACCAGAGGCACTCCAAGTGCCCAGCTACTGGTCAAAGGACATTTAATCAACTACCAAACTCGCAAATTGTGTATTTTGTCTGTTTGTCTGTTTTGTTCTGTTAGAAATGTAATACAATTGACTGGTTGAGCTGACACGACAAATAAATAAATAAAATCCATCACCTTTTGGCTGCCATGGTCAGGAGAAGGCCTTTCCGGGGGATGTGACACTCCGCTTGTCTCTTTCCCAATAGGAGATGCCTGGCTGTGCAAATCTGTCTTGGGCGAAGGGCACCAGCGGACGATCCGGAAAGTGGCCTGGTCACCTTGCGGCAACTATCTTGCCTCAGCCAGCTTTGATGCCACCACCTGCATTTGGAAGAAGAACCAAGAGGACTTCGAGGTAAGTCCGCAGAGGCCTTTCTATTCAATGTGTTGTCTAAGGCATTCATGGCTGGAATCATTGGGTTGCTGTGAGCTTTCCGAGCTGTATAGCCATTTTCCAGGAGCATTTTCTCCTGACGTTGCACCCACATCTATGGCAGGCATCCTCAGAGGTTATGAGGTCTGTTGGAAACTAAGCAAGTGAGGTTTATATATTTGTGGAATGTCCAGGGTGGGCGAAATAACTCTTCTCTGTTGATTGGTGAATGTTGCAACTGACCAGCTTTATTAGCATTGAATGGCCTTACAGCTTCAAGATTTGGCTGCTTCCTGCCTGGGGGAATCCTTTGTTGGGAGGTATTAGCTGGCCCTGATTGTCTGGAATTCCCCTATTTTTGAGTGTTGTTCTTTATTTACTGACCTGATTTTAAAGTTTTTAAATACTGGTAGCCAGATTTTGCTCATTTTCATGGTTAATACTGTATAATAATATTAAATGCAGCCTTGGATCTCAAAGTTGTCAGACTTTAATAATATTATAATAATATTACATAATAATAATAATAATAATAATAATAGACGCAGCCTTAAATCTCACAGTTGTCAGACTTTAATAATCTAATAATACTGTACTATAATGTAATAATAATATTATAAGAATATAATAATATTATAAGAAAATATAATATAATAATATTAAATATATCCTTAGATCTCACAGCTGTCAGACTTTAATAATCTTATTATAATCTTTCTTTGTATATAATAAAAGTGAATGTATGTATGTTTGCATGTGTGTATGTGTCAGCTTTTTGATTGGCTGCCACTTTCACAAGCCACTGTGACGAGCACGGGTGACGGACCTGGACCAAACTTGGCACACATAACCCCCATGGCCCCCTTTACGTCCTGGTGAGGATTGGGGAGGACAGACAATGGATGATGTGATTTGTAGTACTTTCAAACCCTTCGGTTCCCAAAGACCACTGTGGCCCCCAACAAAGATAAAGACCAAACTTAGCACACAGAGCCCCCAGGACCCATTCTATATCCTGGTGCAGTTTGGCGGAGACCGGACCATGGATGATGGGACTTGAAGTACCCCCACTCCCTTCCCGAGACTGCTGCGATCCTCATCCAATGACTGATCAAGACCAAACTTGGCACACAGAGTACCCATGTCCCACTCTACATCCTGGTGCTGTTTGGAGGAGGATGGAGCATGGACGATGGGACTCGCAGTACCTTCACTAACTTCTTGAGAGCACTGTGAGCCACATAAATAACAGATAAAGACCAATCTTGGCACACAATGCCTTTCTCAAATAACCCGGACACCTGGGCCCCAAACTAGTATAATATAATAATTTAATAATAATATAATGCAATAGTATTATAATACTATTGCAATAATATAATTATAATTATAATTATAATAAAATATTAGCTGCATCCTTAGATCTCACATTTGTCAAGCTTTAATAATATAATAATTATAATATTATTGTGGGAGTTGCAGTCCAAAACAGCTGGAGGGAAGGCCAAAGTTGGCCCATGCCTGCACTAGAGGCTTACGAATGCAGCATAGCATCACATTGCATTTTTCCGCTGACACATCCCACCGTTGTCTGATGTTGCACTAAGATTCCTATACCCCTTTTCCCATGGACTGTTTTCCAAGCCAGGTGCCTCCCATCCTATATCTCTGTGTTTTCCTTTTGTATTCAGTGTGTTGCAACCTTGGAGGGCCATGAGAACGAGGTGAAGTCTGTGGCCTGGGCTCCGTCCGGCTCTCTCTTGGCCACCTGCAGCAGGGACAAGAGCGTCTGGGTTTGGGAAGGTGAGAGTGGGGATTAATGCTTGGGTCAAAGGGAGTGCGGAAAAAGGAGCCTGTATAGCTGTGATGGCAACCTTTTAGAAACCAATTTCCCAAACAGGGGGTTGGAAACCACCCTGAGTCCCTTTGGGAGACAGGGTGGTATACAAATAAAGATTTATTATTATTTTAAGTTAGGAATTTGTGAGTTCAGGTGCAAATTCATATTCTACAATTGATAGCTGCTTTGAGTCCCCTTCAGGAGAGATAAAGAGGGGTATAAATAGATCTAATCTATATAAATAAAAATGTAATGTTCGTTTGTGGGATTAACAGAACTCAAAAACCACTGGACAAATTGACACCAAATTTGGACACAAGACACCTAACAACCCAATGTATGTCCTTCACTCAAAAAATTGATTTTGTCATTTGGGAGTTGTAGTTGCTGGGATTTATAGTTCACCTACAATCAAAGAGCATTCTGAACCCCACCAACGATGGAATTGAACCAAACTTGGCACACAGTTCTCCCATGACCAACAGAAAATACTGGAAGGGTTTGGTTTTGGAGTTGTAGTTCACCTACATCCAGAGACCACTGTGGACTCAAACAATGATGGATCTGGACAAATTTGGCACGAATACTCAATATGCCCAAATGTGAACACTGGTGGAGTTTGGGGAAAATAGATTTGACATTTGGGAGTTGTAGTTGCTGGGATTTATAGTTCACCTACAATCAAAGAGCATTCTGTGTTTTTCAGTGTTTTTATTATTCCAATTCCATCGTTGGTGGGGTTCAGAATGTTCTTTGATTTTAGGTGAACTATAAATCCCAGCAACTACAACTCCCAAATGTCAAGGTCTATTTTCTCCAAACTCCACATATTGAGTATTCGTGCCACGTTTGGTCCAGATCTATCATTGTTTGACTCCACAGTGCTCTCTGAGTGTAGGTGAACTACAACTCCAAAATTCAAGGTCAATACCCACACAAACCCCCATATGGGCCACAGCAACGCGTAGCAGGGGACGGCTAGTACATAATAAAAGTGAAAATATGTATGTGTGTGTGGCTAGGGTGTCCACTTACCCAGACAAGCTCCTGCCTTTAGTTTCCACTACTCAGGAGACACCAATGACCCTCCCTCCAATGACATTGCAGGTTTTAGAGATCACCATGAACATGTCCAAGAGCCCTGCCAATATTCTCCCCAAACACCATCTTGCTCACCATCCGAGTGAAGGCTTTCATGCGGGAACAAGTCCATCTTAGATTTTATGTGTGTCCTCCACCACAGTCATCCCAATGTTCCTTACTTTCTCCATTGGTGTGGAATTTGCATGACCCCATCCACTGCCATGCAGAAATGTTTATACTTTGAGGTTGTGATTAAGTGAACTTGAAAAAGTAAGATAAGGTTTGTTCTTGCTGAGAACAGAAGGGAGTTGTCAGTCTCAGCAAGAGAAGATAAGCAGATGTGAAGAGGCTTTCGGTTTTGACTAGTGCTTTGTTCTTCCTGAATTGTAGCTCGCTGTAGAAAGACGTGTCTGTTGTATGTACTTAGTAAACTTAGTTTCTTTTGTAACTCAAAGCCTGCAGAGTCCTTATTTTGCAACTCAGTGTCTGCTTGATCTAGCATTCCTTCCGTTGGGGATCGCCAATCTCTGACAGAAGCTCCTGTCTCCACAAATAGCTATAACTTCTACTACTCAGGAGACACCAATGGCCCTCCCTCCAATGACATGTAAACATGCCCAAGAGCCCTGCCAATGTCCTCTGCACCATCCTGTGCACTACCCAAGTGAAGGCTTTCATACAGAGACAATTTCCTCCCAGTTCTGAGAAGGCAGCACTTCTCAGAACTGCACACATTCTACGAAAATACCTCTAACATCCTAGGTCCTTGAGAAGAACCCAATATTCAGAGATGAACCCCAGGCACTTGTACCTAATGTGCATTTGTGCTGCGTTGTTATGAACATGTAAATAATAATAAGAATTTTGCTATAGTTTTCCAATCCTCTCTAAGCTGGACTCACAGTGACCCCTCTGTGCTTTGTTTCAGTGGATGAAGAAGATGAGTACGAGTGCATGAGCGTGCTGAATTCCCACACGCAGGACGTCAAGCACGTGGCCTGGCATCCCAACCAGGAGGTGAGTGGACCTTGGCATCCTTGAGCACAAGGCATTTGTGGGAAGGGTCTCCTCCTGAGAGATTTCAGTCCGTTGAATGATGGCAGCTTGCCCAGTCTCTGTGCTGTTGTATGGTACTATTCTAAAGCCTTTGACTGTGTGGATCATAATAAATTGTGGCAGGTTCTTGGTGGTCTGGGCATACCAAATCACCTTGTCTCTCTCCTGAGGAATCTGTACAAGGACCAAGTAGCAACAGTAAGAACTGACCATGGAACAACAGACAGGTTCAAGATTGGGAAAGGCATACGGCAGGGTTGTATCCTCTCCCCCAACCTATTCAACTTGTATGCAGAACACAACTTGTATGCAGGGCTTGACGAATGCAAGGCTGGGGGGGAAATTGCTGGAAGAAGCATTAACAATCTTAGATATGCAGATGATACCACTTTGATGGCCGAAAGTGAGGAGGAGTTGAGGAGCCTTCTAATCAAGGTAAAAGAAGAAAGCTCAAAAGCTGGGTTGCAGCTAAACATCAAAAAACCAAGATTATGGCAACAATAATGATTGACAACTGGGAAATAGAGGGAGAAAACGTGGAGGCTGTGACAGACTTTGTATTTCTAGGACCGAAGATTACCGCAGACACAGATTGCAGCCAGGAAATCAGGAGACGTTTCCTTCTTGGGAGGAGAGCAATGACAAATCTTGATAAGATAGTGAAGAGTAGAGACATCACACTGGCAATGAAGATCTGCATAGTCAAAGCAATGGTATTCCCCATAGTCACCTACGGATGTGAGAGCTGGACCATAGGGAAGGATAGAATCATAGAATCCTAGAGTTGGAAGAGACCTCATGGGCCATCCAGTCCAACCCCCTGCCAAGAAGCAGGAATAATGCATTCAAAGCACCCCTGACAGATGGCCATCCAGCCTCTGTTTAAAAACCACCAAAGAAGGAGCCCCCACCACACTCCGGGGCAGAGAATTCCACTGCTGAATGGCTCTCACAGTCAGGAGGTTCCTCCTCATGCTCAGATGGAATCTCCTTTCTTGTAGGTTGAAGCCACTGTTTCACGTCCTAGTCTCCAGGGCAGCAGAAAACAAGCTTGCTCCCTCCTCCCTGTGGCTTCCTCTCACATATTTATACATGGCTATCATGTCTCCTCTCAGCCTTCTCTTCTTCAGGCTAAACATGCCCAGCTCCTTAAGCCGCTCCTCATAGGGCTTGTTCTCCAGACCCTTGATCATTTTAGTCGCCCTCCTCTGGACACATTCCAGTTTGTCAATATCTCTCTTGAATTGTGGTGCCCAGAATTGGACACAATATTCCAGGTGTGGTCTAACCAAGGCAGAACAGACCATGGGGAGCATGACTTCCCTGGATCTAGACACTATGCTCCAATTGATGCAGGCCAAAATCCCTTTGGGTTTCTTTTTGCCACCACATGACATTGTTGGCACATGTTTAACTTGTCATCCACAAGGACTCCCAAGATCTTTTTCACACGTACTGCTCTCGAGCCAGGTGACCCCCATTCTGTATCTTTGCATTTTGTTTTTTCTGCATAAGTGGAGTATCTTGCATTTGTCACTGTTGAACTTCATTTTGTTAGTTTTGGCCAATCATCTTTCTAATCTGTCAAGATTGTTTTGAATCCTGCTCCTGTCCTCTGGAGTATTGGCTATCCCTCCCAATTTGGTGTCGTCTGCAAGAGAGATGCTTTTGAATTGTGGTGCTGGAGGAAAGTTCTGAGAGTGCCTTGGACCGCGAGAAGATCCAACCAGTCCATACTTCAGGAAATAAAGTCTGACTGCTCATTGGAGGGTATTAGAGGCCAAAATGAAGTACTGTATTGTTGTATTGATGTCCTGATGTTAATTAATTGATATTACTGTTTTAAATTATTAATGATTTTGTACTGTATTGTTGATACTGGTTGTTAACCGCTCTGAGTCGCCGTTGGCTGAAAAGAGCGGTATACAAGTGAAGATAATAATAATAATAATAACAACAACAACAATAATAATGAAGACAGGAAAGCTTAGAGAAGACAATGATGCTGGGGAAAATGGAAGAAAAGAGGGGCTGACTAAGGGCAAGATGGATGGATGGGATCCTTGAAGTGACTGGCTTGACTGTGAAGGAGCTGGGGGTGCTTTAACCCACTGTGCCACCATGGAGCCTATATATTTCTATATCGTTGATATTATGCATATTGTATTATAATTTCTTAACAACTGACCCCTCAGATAAAGCTCTACTCTTTGTCAGCTAAGGCTTTGTAAAAATCATATCTGTATTGCCCTAATGTCTAGGAACATAAGCTTATGAATATGAATATTGGGATCCTGGGGAAATCACCTTCCGATGGGATGCAGCGTTGTGTCCGTTCTTGGCTGCTCTGAGTGTGGCCTTTATCTCTCCCTTTCCGCTCCCAGCTGTTGGCCTCGGCCAGCTACGACGACACGGTGAAGTTGTACCGGGAGGAAGAGGACGACTGGGTGTGCTTTGCCACCCTGGAGGGTCACGAGTCCACCGTCTGGAGCCTGGCCTTCGACTCCAGCGGGGAACGGCTGGCCTCCTGCAGCGACGACAGGACCGTCCGCATTTGGCGCCAGTACAAGCCGGGCAACGCGCAAGGTCAGTGGGGAGAACCTCCAGGTGGTAAGAGGACCTTCAAGGCCAGAAAACGTCACGGCCTAGGAGGCCAGTGGGGTCTCCTTCTCCTGGAGACCTTTAAGCAGAGGATGGATGGCCCTTGAGGTCTCTTCCAAGTCTGTGATTCTATAGTATTAGTAGTAGTAGTAATAGTAGTAATTCTATTCTAGTAGTATAAGTAGAGGCTGGATGGCCATCTGTTGGGAGGGCTTTGATGGTGCCACCGAGACTGTGGCGCAGCTGGCTGGGAGTCAGCTGCATTAAGATCACTACTAAACCGAAAAGTGATGAGTTTTATGCCAGCCCGGGTCGGAGTTAGCTCCCGACCATTTGTCTAGCTTGCTGTCGACCTTTGCAGCCTGAAAGACAGTTGCATCTGTCAAGTTGGAAAATTAGGTACAGCTTATGCAGAGAGGCTAATTTAACTACCATATATACTTGAGTATAAGCTGACCCAAATATAAGCCGAGGCACCTAATTTTACCACAAAAACTGGGAAAACATATTGACTCGAGTATAAGCCGAGGGTGGGAAATGCAGCCACTACAGGTAAATTTCAAAATAAAAAATAGATTCTAATACTATTACATTAATTGAGGCATCAGTAGGTTAAATGTTTTTGAATATTTACATAAAACTGTAAATATGTCCAACTCTGATTAAACCATGATTTTTCAGTGTAAATATGTTTGCACACCCTTTCAGTAATAAAAGAGTAAAATAATAAATGTAATAATAATAGAGTAAAGTAATAGAAATGTAATAATAACATTAATAATAGAGTAAAATGATAAATGTAATAATAACAATAATAAAGTAAAATAATAAATGTAATAATAGAGTAAAATAATAATAATAATACTCGAATTAAATAATAAATAATCTTGACTCAAATATAAGCCGAATGGGACTTTTTCAGCCTAAAAAAAGGGCTGAAAAACTAGGCTTATACTCGAGTATATACAGTAATTTACAATGCCATAAAAATCTCCGGCAAGCATGCAAAGAATGAGGAAAGTACTCCATCAATGTCACAAATGGACAGTGAAGGGACAGCTCCCCCGGTGGCCAGAATACCCTCATGAAGCTGGAATGTTAAATGGCCTCTGTGTGTCTGTCTATAGATGTTGTGTGTGTCTATGGCATTGAATGTTTGCCATGTCTATATACATTGTAATCCACCCTGAGTCTCTGCTTAAAAACCTCCAGAGGAGACTCCATTGGACTCCTGTGTTTACTCAGTCCAACATCAGGAAGTTCTTCATGTTTAGGTGGAATCTCATTTTCCTGCAATTTGAATCCATGGCTCTATTGTGTCCTAGATTCTGAAGCAGCAAAAAAACAAGCTTCTTGATATGACATCCTTTCAAGTATTTAGGCACTGGATGGCCATCTGTCGGGAGGGCTTTGATGGTGTCCTCATGCCAGGCAGACTGGGGTTGGATTATATGGCCCTTGAGGTCTCTTCCAATTCTAGGGTTCTATTTCTATATAAATAAAAATGCAATGTTCGTTTGTGGGATTATCAGAACTCAAAAACCACTGCACGAATTGACACCAAATTTGGACACAAGACACCTAACAACCCAATGTATGTCCTTCACTCAAAAAAACTGATTTTGTTATTTGGGAGTTGTAGTTGCTGGGATTTATAGTGCACCTACAATAAAAGAGCATTTGGAACTCCATCAACAATGTAATTGATCCAAGGCACACAGAGCTCCCATGACCAAGAGAAAATCCTGGAAGGTTTTGGTGGGCATTGACCTTGAGTTTTGGAGTTGTAGTTCACCTACATCCAGAGAGCACTGTGAGACTCAAACAATGATGGAACTGGACCAAACTTGGCATGAATCCTCAATATGCCGAAATGTGAACACTGGTGGAATTTGAGGAAAATAGATCTTGACATTTGGGAGTTGTAGTTGCTGGGATTTATAGTTCACCTACAATCACAGAGCATTCTGAACCCCACCAACGATAGAATTGGGCCAAACATCCTACACAGAACCCTCAGGTGGGCCACAGCAAAGCATGGCAGGGGACGGCTAGTGCATATATATTTTTTCTCAGACTTGGCTGTTAGAAGATCTCAGTTGTCTCAAAGGTAAGAGCCGCTTCTCTGTTTCAGGGGTGGTCTGCTGCGGCACCGATCCCACCTGGAAGTGCGTCTGCACCCTTTCCGGCTTCCACACAAGGACCATCTACGACGTGGCATGGTGAGCAAAGTGGGGAAGGGAGGGAGGGGTATCAGTATCCAAAGGAGGGGCAGAACATGAGGCTGCAGCTCCCAGATATGGACAAATTTGGGCTCTCCAGGCATTTTGGACTTCAACTCCCACAATTCCTAACAGACTACTGGTTGTGGTCTGGAGCCTAGATATCCTGTGATAATGCGGCATGTCTCATTAAGAGCCACATCCATTGTTTTAATGTGGTGATATGTGTTCCACATAGGGCAGCAGAGTAGCAAAGGGCAAGGGCAGATGTCTTCACTGTGTCTGGTTGTGATCCCCAGGTTGTGCCAGTCAGCTTTCGTATGATATTATGTCTAGTGCCCACTTTTTGCTTGATATTCAGGCAGTGCTTCTTATAAGTCAGAACATGAGAATGACTCCCAAGTATTTGTGTGTTCTGCAATGCTCCAATGGGATTCCTTCCCAGGTCATTCTCAGAGTCCAAGATGCTTGTCTGTTTTTAAGGTGAAAAGCCCACATCTATGTTTTAGATGGATTACGAATCAGCTGGTTTTCCCTGTAATAGGCAGTAAAACCACCTAAGGCTACGGAGAGCTTCTGTTCAACCTTTTCGAAGCTCCCTGCTTGGGCGGTGATGGCACAATCGTCAGCATAGATTAAACTCTTTGTTCCTTCTGGCAGTGGCTGGTCATAATAATTTGTGTAAATGTTAAACATTGATGGAGCAGAGTAGTCGGAGCACAGTCCAGAGTGACTCCCAGGTATTTTGGTGTGCTGCAATGTTCCAGTGGGATTCCTTCCCAAGTCATCCTCAGAGCTCAAGATGCTTGTCTGGGCAACATCTTTGTAGATTCTCTCACACCAGAAGCAACTTGCAGCATGCAACCAAAATCCATATTATCTGCTTTGAACTGGATTATATGGCAGTGTAGACTCATATAATCTGGTTCAAAGCAGGTAATGTGTTTAAACAGAAGCAGTGTAGACTCGTATAATCTGGTTCAAAGCAGGTAATGTGGTTAAACAGAAGCAGTGTAGACTCATATAATCTGGTTCAAAGCAGGTAATTTGGTTAAACAGAAGCAGGGTTCTGTTCAACCATTTCAAAGCTCCCTGCTTGGGTGGTGATGGCACAATCGTCAGCATAGATGAAACTCTGTCCCTTCTGGCAGTGGCTAATCATTTGCATTTATGTTAAACATTGATGGAGCAAACACACAAAATATTCTACCTATATGTTCTGCCAATGGCTTCTAATTATTTTGAAAACATTGTATTTTATTTTCAAGGAGATAGGTCAATTTATCAAATTCTGCAGTTGAGCAGTTTGGCCAACCATTCATTTGCTTCTTTCCAATGTCCGGCACAAACTGTTACAGCCTTTTGAAAGAAAACCATAATAATACACTTTATTTATATTCCGCTCTATCTCCCCGGAAGGATTCAGGGACTCATATTTTTCTTCTTGATGACCGCATTTGCCAGTCTCTTCCTTGTTGGTTCTAATCCCCTTCAGGTGCCACTTGACGGGCGCCTTGGCCACCGCTTGCGGGGACGACTCCATCCGGGTATTTGAGGAGGAGCCCAGCTCGGACCCCCAGCAGCCCACTTTCAACCTGGTGGCCCACGTGGCCCGGGCCCATTCCCAGGATGTCAACTGCGTGGCTTGGAACCCCAAGGAGAAAGGCCTGCTGGCTTCCTGCAGCGACGAGGGAGACATCGCGTTCTGGCAATACCAGCACCCCGAGGCCTGAAGAGGTGCTCTCCTGTCTTTAATACCCTAGGACATATAGGGTTCCCCCAAAATCAACCTGGAAAGCTGGTTCTTCCATAGCAATTCCTGTTATTCCCTAAATTTCTACTGGAGGGGTGTCCTTTTTGTACTAAAACAAACTTTCGGCCCTCCAGATGTTTTGCACTCCAACTCCCACAATGCCTAGCTGCCTACCGGTGGTTAGGAATTGTGGGCGCTGAAGTCCAAAGCACCTGGAGGGCCAAAAGTTTGCCCAGGCCTGTTCTAAGACAAGGACTAAGAGGTATACTTACAGAAACAAGTCTGAAAGAAATAATAAAACCTAAACACGGTACTCTCTGTTTTGTTTCTTGCTCTCTATGCGATCTAGCTTTTGTCAACAAAAGCTAGGGCTTTAGCATAGCTGGTAAATCACCAGCAGCGATAAGATTTACCAACTGAAAGGTTGCCAGCTCGAAGCACCAGGTTGGGGTGAGCAACCGACTGTCAGGCCAGCTCACTGTTGACCTAAGCCAAGAGTCCTCAAACATTTTAAGCAGAAGTCACAGTCCCTCAAACTGTTGGGAGGGCTGGATTATAATTTGAAAAAAAAAAAAACATGAACGAATCCCTATGCACACTGCACATCTATTATTTGTAGTGTAAAAAACATTTTAAAATAATACAATAATTAAAATGAACAATTTTAACAAAAATAAACTTATTAGCATTTCAATGGGAAGTGTGGGCCTGCTTTTGGCTGATGATGAAATAGGATTGTTGTTGTGGTGGTGTGCTTTCAAGCCATTTCAGATTTAGGTTAATCCTGACCGAGGGCTGGGTAAATGACCTTGGAGGGCCGTATCCGGCCCTCGGGCCTTAGTTTGAAGACCCCTGACCTAAGCAGTTCGTAAACAGCTTAGAGCTGTAAGTAGAGAAATTAGGTACTGCTAAAAAGCAGGGGGGGGGGGGGGGGGGTATTTTGCGACACCATAAAAGAAAAAGATCAGAAAATGCCCAGCGACCAAAAGGAAGGAGGAAGTCTTGATGGCCCTTTGTCATAGAGGATGAAGGGACAGCACCCTCTTGTGGCTGGATTTGAGCACAACCTCCAAGGTGCAAACAAAGCTGGATGTCGACACAACATACCTCTTTTCTGTCTGTCCTGTCTGTCCAAACAGCTTTGAATGTTAGCCGAGTATGTGTACTGTGATCTGCCCTGTGTCCCCTTGAGCGATAGGGAGGAATATAAATAAAGTTGTTGTTGTTGTTGTTATTAAAGAGTCCCTGGTGGCGCAGTGGGTTAAACCCCTGTGCCAGCAGGACTGAAGACCGACAGGTCGCAGGTTCGAATCCGAGGAGAGGCGGATGAGCTCCCTCTATCAGCTCCAGCTCCTCATGTGGGGACATGAGAGAAGCCTCCCACAAGGATGATAAAAACATCCATTCATCCGAGCGTCCCCTGGGCAACATCCTTGCAGACGGCCAATTCTCTCACACCAGAAGCGACTTGCAGTTTCTCAAGTCGCTCCTGACACAACAAAAAATATATATTATTATGGCTAACTGGCCGTGACAAAGGGAGTCCCCAGTCTGTTCTTAAAGATGTTTATTTGGGAGATAACAATCGAAAATAAATTCAAGCCACTGACTAAAAATACTGTACACAAAACGAGTGCTGAGTTATACCTCCACATTTAAAAAAAACAATAATTTCTCCTGGTGCTGAGAGAATATGGAGGGAATTCCTCCAATGCTTTGAGTCTTCCAAACACACAACGAAGAAGGCATGACACACCTCCCTGCTGCTGACTGAGGATGGAGGAAGCATGGAACGTCCGGTGATCACGAACACACAAGAGATACGCCTGGATCAGCAGCCACATCGGACTTCCTGCTCCCTGGTGGCTCAGAACCGCTCTTTGTGGTGCAAACTGAGACGTACCCAATCTGCTCAATCTGAATCGCTGTCACTCTCGGCCTCCTTCACATCCACACTGAACTTATACTCCTGGTCGCAGCCCATGTAAGCGTCGCTCATGAAGTACAGGGTGTAGTTGTGGGTCCCAGTCGCCGGGGCCACAAAGTCCAGTTTCACCTAGAAAAAAGGGAAGACGTTTCTTAAGTTCCTCAGCTGAAATTCAGTTGGAATGGGCTACACAAGGAGGAGGAATAAGGGAAGCAAGGGCCAAGGAGTGCCTTCCTCAGCTCCCTATGGGCTGAAGCGAGGAACAACAAATTAAAATACAACAATAAATAGTCGCCTTAAAGAGTTAAAAGCACAAATACAATTTGGAGATGGTACGTGGCTCCAATAATGTTGAGTTATAGAAACTATCTACAAAATGGTTGGAGGTGCAATAAAGAAACTGGGACTTACATACATTTCGGGTGGGAATGTGAAAAATATTTTTTTTAAAGAGGTGGGTCCATAAGTAGATGATAGAGGAAACTTGGGAAGGAAATGGATAGGTAATTAGGTAGGTAGGTAGGTATAGAAAGAAAAAGAAATATATTGTATGTATGTATGGATGGATGGGTTGGTAGATAGATAGATAGATAGATAGATAGATAAATAGATAGATAGCAGGAGCCCCTCCCACTGGCTATATATACTCTATGGCAGTGGTTCTCAACCTTCCTAATGCCGTGACCCCTTAATACAGTTCCTCATGTATTATTTTTGTTGCTACTTCATAACTGTCATTTTGCTACTGTTATGAATCATCATGAAAACATCTGAGATACAGGATGTATTTTCATTCACTGAACCAAATTTGGCAAAAATACCCGATACGCCCAAATTTGAATACTTGTGGGGTTGCGGGATTGATTTTGTCATTTGGGAGTTGTAGTTGCTGGAATTTATAGTTCACCCACAATCAAAGAGCATTCTGAACTCCACCAACGATGGAATTCTTAATTGATGGGGTTCAGAATGTTCTTTGATTGTAGGTGAACTATAAATCCCAGCAACTACCAACTCCCCAAATGTCAAGGTCTATTTTCCCCAAACTCCACCAATATTGAGTATTCGTGCCACGTTTGGTCCAGATCTATCATTGTTTGACTCCACAGTGCTCTCTGAGTGTAGGTGAACTACAACTCCAAAACTCAAGGTCAATGCCCACCAAACCCTTCCAGTATAATAATGATAATAATATAATAATAATAAAACTTTATTTATATACTGCTCCATCTCCGAGGAGACTCAGAACGGTTCTCAGGTAACATCACAAAACATACAAAGTAAAAACAACCATAAGATTAACAAAACAAAATATAAGCATAAAAATTGTCGCCATAACACGCATATATTAAAAGTAATCCTGTCTGTTCAAGGCAATTAAACAATTTAAAAGGCTGGGCCAAGATTTGTGCAAGCCCAAAATTTCTAGGGGGCGGGATGGGAATAAAGTGCAATGCTATGACAGAAAACAATAATATTAGGTACGGGTCTGTGGCTGTTCATTCCAGGGCTGATTAGAGGAAGTGATCTGGGTAACTGGTAGGAAGAATAAGGCCATATTCGACAATGTGTAGGGCTGAGTTAGAACTGGTTATTTTCAAAGGCTTGTTGAAACCACCAGGTCTTCGAGCTTTTACGAAAGGAGGGGAGGGACGAGGCCTGTCTTATTTCCCTTGGAAGGGCATTCCAGAGGTGGGGGGCCACCACCGAGAAGGCCCTCTCTCTCGTCCCCACCAACCACGCTTGAGACGGAGGTGGGAGTGAGAGGAGGGCCTCCCCAGTAGATCTCAGAGTTCGCGCCAGTTCATAGAAGGAGGGAAGGAGAATGCTCTTTGATTGTGGGTGAACTATAAATTCAAGCAACTACAACTCCCCAATGACAAAACCAATCCCCCCCTCCCCGAGCAATCAAATTTGGGAGTGTGGGGTATTTGCACCAAACATGGTCCAGTAAATGAAAATACATCCTGCATATCAGATATTTACATTATGATTCACAACAGTAGCACAATTACAGTTGTGAAGTAGCAACAAAAATCATTTTCTGGTTAAGGGTCACCACAACATGAGGAACTGTATTAAGGGGTCGCGGCATTGGGAAGGTTGAGAAACACTGTGCTAAAGGGAAAGGCCAACTCTGGCTCACCTTGGCTTTCTGCTGCAGAGTGAGTCTCTTGATGGAGATGAGGCTGTTGGATTTGGAGTCGCCGATCACAACCCACCAGCCCTCTTCACGTTTCTGCACAAAAAGATGGAATGAAAGGGACAGTAAGAGACCGAAGGAAATGGTGGGCTTCTCATAAGACCCTCTGTTTCCAAGAACCCAACCTACCTGTGGGAAGAGTGGCGCGATCACTGGCCCAGTGACCTCCTCTTCTCGTTCCAGCTGCACCAGAACCACCACTAGCCCCCCACTGGAGAAGCAAACCAGAGAGGAGATATTAGCCATGAATTCACAGATGGTGTAGTTTCTGTTAGGAAAAACTACCTAAAGAACAAAGCAGAGCATCCAAAAACTAACAGGATACTAAAAGCTGCCCAGTGATGGAAGGAAGGACAAAAGAAAGGAAGGGGGGATGGAAGGAGAAAGAGGGAGAGAAGGAAGGAGGGAGGGAGGAGGGAGGGAAGGAAAGACAAAAGGGAAGGATGAAAGGGTGGAAGGGAAGGGGAGGGAAGGGAAGGGAAGGGAAGGGAAGAGGAAGAAGGAAGGAAGGAAGGAAGGAAGGAAGGAAGGAAGGAAAAGGGAGAGAGGGAGGAAAGAGGGAAGGAAGGATGAAAGGGTGAAGGATGGAAGGAGAAAGAGGGAGGGAGGTAAGGAGGAAGGAAAGAGAAAGAAAGAAAACAAAAGGAAGGGAAGGGGGAAGGGAAGAGAAGGAAGGAAGGAAGGACAAAAGGGTGGAAGGGAAGAAAGGAGGGAGGGAGAAATAAATGAGGTAAAGAGGAAGGAAAGAGAGGAGGAAGGGAAGACAAAAGGAAGGATGAAAGGAAGGAGGGGAAGGAGGAAGGAAAGAGAGAAGGAAGAAAGGACAAAAGGATGGAAGAGAAAGAGGGAGGCAAGAAAGGGAGAGAAGAAGGAAGGAAGGGTGAAAGGGAAGAAGAGGGGAGAAGGAGGGAAGGAAGGAAGGACAAAAGGGTAGATAGGAAAGAGAAAGAGGAAGGGAAGGTGGAAGGAAAGAGAGAAGGAAGGATAGGATGGTGAGAGAGAGGAGGGCCTGAGAGAAGACCCCAAGAGGGTGCATCCAGGCCCTGGGCCTGGGTTTGTGCACACCTGGTTTATACTAAGCTAACTAAACTGTTCCTCATTGAGGACTTGAGACTCGGGCAGTTGAATCCCAACAGTTTCTAGGCAGTAATTTATTCCTCATCTCTGCACAGCAAAAGATCCA